ATCTTGTTTATTAATAAATGTTTAGGGTGGATATGCTGCAAATTTGGCTCCTGCAAAATTAGTTGGCAAATTGCTCAACTTTTTTGATAGCACTGCACATCGAGTTGTTGGTGGTTTACCACCACCTGCTCCATCGTCATCGCAAGGAACTGTTCATGGTAGTGAACAACATTACCAACACATGGCACCCAGAGTATCCTCTAGCCAATCAACAATGGCCATGTCATCATTAGTTCCATCTGCTTCAATGGAACCCATAAGTGAGTGGACAGCTGACAATAATAGAATGCCTAAGCCTAATAGAAGTGTTTCTGAGCCAGATATTGGCAGAACCCCAAGACAGGTGCGTGAGTACTATGAAATGTGTATTGTGAAAAAATTTCACCTTCCTCTGCTTGTTTTTGGTTTTATAGTTTTTTGATGGAAAAGTTTTGGTTGAGATGTATTGCAGGAAACAACGTCACCTGATTCACAAGGAAAAACACAGGCATCTGGGGCTACATCTCGCTTTTCCCGCTTTGGTTTTGGCTCGCAACTTTTGCAAAAGACAGTAGGGCTTGTCTTGAAACCTCGCTCTGGTCGACAGGTATAATTATATTTTTTATTTTTTATTCTTATTTTTCTTTTATTCACCACAGTGCTTCCGACTGTGCCTTTTCAAATGGATCTTATTCTACATTATATTTAGGCTAAGTTGGGGGACAAAAACAAGTTCTATTATGATGAGAAGCTGAAGACATGGGTGGAAGAAGGTGCTGAACTTCCAGCTGAAGAAGCTGCACTGCCACCACCTCCAACAACTGCTGCTTTCCAGAATGGTTCAACCGAATACAACTTGAGATCTGCATTGAAGACTGAAAGTTCACCTCCTATTGAGGGTTCTAACATAAGAACTTCTAGTCCTGAACTTAGTCCAGGGATGCCACCAATGCCACCCACTACAAATCAATTTTCTGCTCGGGGTCGTTTGGGTGTTCGGTCAAGGTAAGAGTTATTTTTTTTCTTTTTTGTTAAGTTTTGTTTAGATTGTTTATATTTTATAATCACAATTAGGGTTTAACTTTTTTTTACAGTTATACTTGTTAGCTGATAAGCATTGTAAAGTGGACCTCCAATTGGTTTCCCTAATAGATTGTCAAGTTTGAAACTGAGGACCTTTAAAGATATGTAAGAATTGTAGCACCTAAAAAAAGGCTAAGCTAGCATAGTAGTTGAATCTTAAAATATGTATTTTATCTTTTCTTTTATTAGGCTGAGCAGGCATACGGAGGATTGTCTTGTAGGCCTAACTAAAATGTATCTTAAAAACACTACACATGACAAGAAAGAAATGAAGAGCCAACCTATTGGTTCTGATTATTCTTTGCAGCTAGCTCAGTTTTCAGAAACTAGAGGAAAATTCTCTTATTCATCTGTCTCTCGGTCATCAACGTAATTTGAAAGGTTTAATATTGATGAAAATGTTTTATGGACCATGCAGGTATGTTGACACCTTCAACCAAGGTGGTGGAACCTCTGCAAACTTGTTTCAATCCCCATCTGTTCCATCTGTTAAACCAGCTCTTGCTGCCAATGCGAAATTTTTCATTCCTACTCCTGTACCAGCATCTAATGAGCAGACAATGGAGGCTATAGCAGAAAGCAACCATGAAGATAGTGTAATAAATGAAGATCCTTCAACATCTGTCACAAAAGAGTGGTCATACCAATCTCCCAATCATGAATCATCAATGCCCATTCAAAGGTTCCCAAGTATGGGTAACATCTCAAAACAGAGAGCAACCGAAGGAAGTAACTCTGATTTTGCTCATGCACGCCGAGCAGCTTCATGGAGTGGGAGTTTAAATGATTCATTTACCCCTCCAAAAATAGGTGATATTATGCCTTTAGGAGGGGGAGCTTCGGGCATGCCACCGTCAAGATTCATGCCCAATGAATCTTTAATGCATACACCTGTGAAAAGTGGCAGTTTTGGAGAAGATCTTCAAGAGGTTGAACTTTGAGCAGATGTTCAAACTGTAAATATCAAATTTTGTTTTTGATCATCAGAATAGTTGGGACGTCCCTGCTTCTGCAGCATTTGTCTGGAACAGTGGTACACGTGAGATGGGGTTTACACAGAAATAGATATCTATCCCTTCTCTTTAAGTCCCCAAATCCCAACTTGGTGATGTATTATTAAATGTGGTCGGCTCACTTGACACTGGACACCATCTCAGGATTATGGAACTGGTGTGGTACAACAAAGAAACAAATAGGACCACCTGCTTAGGTGAGTAGTACAACTCATTTGTTCATTTTATTAAACAAGGAATCGTCCGTGAGGAAAGATGGCCTCAATAGATCAAGGACAAAAGAATAGCTTATGGAATTGTGAAATATAATTTTGTTCCTTTTTGTATTTGTTTTAGTTATCAGTCATTAAATGATACTACTAAATTTCTGAATCCTCAGCCTTAATTGGAAGCGTTTTTATTACTTTGATGACGATATGATGGGAAAAATGGGATGAAGGGAATTTGCTCGCTGGCTATTATTTTGGAATGATATTTGAATAGGATCAAGTCTACAATGACTTGGTATACATATTAATTAACTTAATTTACTAGGGCTTTTTTTTTTTTTTAATGAACATGAAGTATTTCAAAGTTGATAACAATGAATTAATTAATGTTTGTGGAATGTATTTTTTATTGATCAAATAATATTTTAATATGTATTACTTTAACATTGATGATATATTTTACATTATTTTCGTCGATATCTCAAGTATCTGTGGATTGTGGCTGTCAAATAATGTAAAATCTTTTAGTGTATGTAAAATGTTATATGAATTAAGTTAAAAAAATTGTAGTTGTACTCCTTTAAATATATGTAAAACATTATCTTTAATATAAAATATTTAAATAAATAGATAACATATAAAATAAATAAGATAATAATTACTCTGCAACCGTCATGTAGATCGGATTGTTATGGTCCAGTAGAACAAAAATTATGAAATATGAAGTAAGATTCTCGTTGTGTCTTTTGTCTCAGGAATGAATTTGAAAATAATCATTAGTTACGTATCATTATGTAGCCAATGAATTCAAATGACCGACCTCTCGCTACATCACTTACCTTAAAATAATCATTCAACTAAAATAACAATATTTGGACGATGTGTACTCGTCTACTAGATATACAATTTAGCCTGATCAAGTGAATGTCAATTCAAGTAGTATAATTTTTATCCATAATTTCCTTTGAGCGAGATGATACACGACCTTATGGCTTTTTGATTGGAATATTTGTTTTTGAAATTTTCTTCATGAAGTAAATGATTGCACTGATTGGCTATCCAAATATGATGTTAAGTATGATGATGTCTTCCTCCATACGACGGTGAATTCTCCTTGTTACTTAACTCCTCTTATGTTAGCAAACATAATGGGGAGTCATGCACATTAGATACTAGTCTTCACTTTTATTTTCCTAATGCATAAAAAAAAATTGACATACAACCAATTTAATTTTAACTCAACCTTCCTACAACAGTGACATTGTTGATAAGATTAAATGTAAAATTATTTTAAAATACTTTTTTTTATCTAACATGAAATCATGTATGACTTGAACTCATGTCACTAAGTTAAAATAACTTCATACTAATTGATCTACGTGTTTGTTCGTGTCATTTTAAGGTATTTTGAATTGATTTTTGAGATACTAATGCAATTTAAGTCTTATTAAAATTAAAATAGTGTAATTTAAGATTTTACATATTATTTTTATTTATTTTAATTAAAATTAAAATCAATTTGTTATAATATGATACTTATAATTATGAGTTCAATTTTTTTATATTAGTATCATGGCTATAACTTGAAAATTAATAATATAAATTCAACGCACATAAAAGAGTTAAATACTTTTTATTTTCTTAAATTTGGGTCAATATTTTTTTTTGTTATTTCCTACCTTTCAAGAATACTAAAATAAATGTAAAAAAAAAAAAGTAAAAGTAAAAGTAAATTAGTTTCAAATTTAGTAGAACAAAATACTCAACTGTCAAATTTAGATTACCAAAAAGAAATTGAACCCTAACTCGAAGGAAAAATTATATTTAAGTTTAATTAAAAATACATTTTTTTAATTTAAAATTTTGTAAGTAAAGAAATTATATAATTTTTAATTACATGCATACATATATTAACCAAATAAATCTAACTATACATTGACTCAATATTATCTCATGCAATTAATGAGTTTAATTTTCAATTCAAGTTAGATTCATCTAGTTCATGGACCAACCTCAATAAATTAATTAACTAGTCAAGTCTTAAGCTAATTTTGAGTTGGACCATTTCATTGTGAATTCTAACGGCGCGTTTGGTATTTAATGTATCACGCTCTCTCCTATTTTTGCTGAGCTTGCCAAGAAGATCCTTCTTTGCCCCATCCCAGCCTTGTATTGTGCCTAACTGGACAAGTCAATATAACTTGTTAAACCAAGAATTTGGCGAAGATTCTCCCAATCTTGTTGAAAAAAAAGCTTCCCTTTCTAGAGATAACTGAAGACCTGCTACTATTCTCACCATAGAGGCCCACAAAAATGGTGCAGAACAGAAGGCATAACCAAATACGCACAGCGCTCTCACTACGCCATCAGGGTACCAAGGAAATGCCATGACCATAAGGGCCCCTACAATTCCAAGCCACGGTACCAAAACCGGCAAAATTGGTAGCAGAAAGACATTAATTACAATTGAACAAAGTGCAAAAGCACCAAGCAAATACAGGATCCACCCCAGAAGAGGGTGGACCGTGTGAGGAATGATAAAGAAGGGTGTTGCGTAAGCAGCGAGGATGCACCACAATGCTATAACTTTGAGGCTGTTATGCACAAGGTTCATGCTCTTATCAGAGCGCCTATAACATAGCTTTGAGAAGCTTGGCCTTGCCAAACGCGTCATTGCTATTACTCCCAGATATATTGCGGATTGGAGAAGTATCACAGCCATCTCAGCACCATATCTGCAAAATGAATTTTTAAAAAAGCAGAAAAAAATTACCTCCGGAAAGCAAAGATATGATAAAAAAATAGAAACTAAGGGACTACTAAAATCAACATAATGTTGCATGGATAATCTATTATTGGAGATCTAGCATTGCCTTGTAACATGACCAATATAATGTATATAAGTAAGAGATGATTCTTATTTTACAAATTGATTGACTTATAATATGACCAATATATATAAGTAGGAGATAATTCTTATTTTACAAATTGATTTGGTAAGGTTAAATAAAAACACATATAATAATATAGTATTAAAAATTCACTAATAATTCACTTCCAAATGTTGTATCTAATAAATTTCATATTCGAAAGATGTAATTGTCAGTCTGATGAGGTGTAATGGAAATCATATTTACTAGGTTATAATATCCATCACTTTATGGATATATTCTGAGCTCCTGTTTTTTGGGTTATAGACCCCTTTAGTGATTGTGTCAGAAACTCGAGAAAATTAAAGGGCACCAAAATCTGATTAACTCCCTTTGGGACTTACCCCAAAGTTTGACGACGTCGTTCATGCCATTGGAGACCTAATGGCAGGACAGGCCACGACCACCAATACCATGGCTTCAACCATGGTGCCCCTGGGAATGTGATCACACTATTTGGTAAACATGGTACGCTCCAGCGTAGTTTAAGATCTGTTGTCAACATGCATATTAGCACAAACTTAGATTTCACTAAGCCCTTGAAACATGTACTTTAAAATACTATATATTGAAAGAACTTACAGTAGTAAGAAGCATCCATCTGATAACCCAAAGGAAGCCTATATGATCCATCGAGCTTGGTGCCATTAGGAGGTGGATGAAACATTGGTTTATCAAGCAACTTGGGGAAGTAGCTAACTATAAAACCCTGGTCTGCACCATCTGGATTTTCCCTCCCATTCTCCAATTCATGAACCATGTCCTTGAACACATCCATTGATGGCTGCCAACATCAAATATTATAATTTATAACCCATATGACAGGTCAACTATGATGGTCAAATTTAAGATTAAAAAAAAATGCATTTTTCGAAAACATAAGCATTTAGTTGTGCATAACTTTTTTTGCTGCTACTGTTATTAGAGTTTATTTCAATCCATATTAAATTATCAAGAATAATTTTTAAGGTAATTACGTAAAGAATTTGATAGATATGCTGAATATAAAAGTAACATTGTCATCTAAAAAAAAACCATGTTTTGTATAATTTCTAAGCCATTATTTGTACGTAGCCTTTTGGCGTATTCAGAGTAAGAATTAATGGTTTTACCCATACGAACTACTCCTACGAAGTTGTGTGGATAATGGAGTAATATAATGAGTTAGTTACATTACATTTTTAGAACGATATTACCTGCAAGACGAAGAGGCCAGTATGGAAGATGCACGGATTGATAAATACCGCACAAAATTGTCCACATTGAAATAACTCATCCGTGTTTTGAAGGAAGAGATTGTCAGCGTCCAACATCACTACCCTGTCATAGTCCACTAAGCTCCACGCATACAGTTTGTTCAATGATAACTTAAATCTCTTGTCAAAATTATCTTGGTGTCTGTACGGATTCTCCATGTTTTCCACCCTTACCACTTTTGCACCATCTTCCTCTTCCCTGATAAATAAAACCAACCCTGCTTATTAATATCCCCGACCCAATAAATGCATAATGGTTAATTGGATCAATCAAACTGTGTTTCTGCAATTAATTAAACTGGGCCACGTAATTCAGCCATTGAGGGGGTAATAATTGCTTTGACTAGTTGGTGAAATTAACTTTGCAAGTAGATATTCTTGCCTTCTCCAATTTTCATTTGACCAGTAAAAAGTAAAACTAAAGAACAAATTTAAATATTTTTATAGTATTTTGTTTCTAATATCATGAAGGAATATAAATGAAATGGGTTTACATTTTTAGTTAATATTTCTATAAAGATATAAAGTAGACAAAAAAAGAATATTATATGATGATGCAACATTTCTCCAAAAACAAATAAATTAGTTGCGAATCCTCTTCGTTAACTTTTAGTTATCAAATAATAATACTACATTTTTTTTTATGTTTTCAAGAATATATAAAATGTTTTCATTATTATTACATAGAAAAAAATTGACATGCGAGACCACATCTAGACAGATGTATATATATAGTATAGACAATAGACGAGGTAAGTGTTAGAAACAAGTTGAAGTCAATCCAACGGACTTAGAGAAATATAAATGGATAATTTAATAATACTATACTGGTATTGATGACAAAATTAAAAAAGAGTAATAAATGGTGCATGAGAAATTGAGAAATGAATTCTAAAATTATTTAAGTAGGTGGTTTAATGGAAGGCAGATGAAGATCAGGTGCTGAGACAATAATACTAGTAACTTTTTGGTGGAACCAAAAACGGATACAAACTCTTGCACTTAACGTGCAAACGTAAA